CCTAGTTTCATCTTCCCCCCCCCTTTCGTTTTGGCTACCTGGTGTATGGTAGACTCTCGAGAGAACTCGAAGCTAAACTTAAACGTCTAATGAATTCGCTCAATCCGCTTTATCTTCGAGATCTCAAGCGATACGCATATTACCCTTTTTTACACCGAGTTGAAGTGGCTTTATCCGTCCTACCACCGTCAGAATTTTCTTGCTACCTTCCTATACCAGGCTATTAGAACTCGGTGACCCTCCTATACTCTTCAGATCCTACAATTCAAATGCTCCTTTCAATCCCTTCCCACCAGATGCTATACGTCCGACCTCTATCCTCCTCTTCATCGAACTGCTGCGTTTGACAAATCCTTTTTAATTCAAGCTCTGGATTTCTATTCTCTCTGATATTCGACCCACAAAGTCACTATCCTCTTTCAAATCTCTCCTCTTCAAACACCTACTCCATTCCCAATCCGGTTGATCATGAAATGTACTTAAAAATCTAAATCGTAAGAATCTCAAAGTACACCCAGATAATTTGATTATTTTGTGATTTATTGATATTTTGTTTATTTATTTTGCTTTCTCTAAATTTTGTTTTATATTTATGTACGTTTTTATATCTTTTAATTATCTGTACCTGTATTTTATTATCAATCATCCTGTAAATATTTAATTGTATTTTATGGATACACTAGAACATTAATATATATTCTGTATTTATAATTTTTTCTAAAGGATTCTAGTCCCAGAATAATATTTTTTTTTTTCATTCATTCATTTAATCATTCATATATATTCGCTCACTCATTATACATAAACATTGCATTTCTTATTATTGTAATGTAAAAAACTGAAGTTCTTTCTAGTAAATATTTCTATACCTACTATTTCTATACTTTTTAATTATAAAGTTTTATGTTAATAAGATATATTGATCCAAATTAGTCATGGCAGAATGAAGACTGCAGTCCTCAAAATTTTAATCCAGAGACCTTGAATCTCCATCCTTCGGGATGTCAGACCTTTCCCGTATATATTGATCAGTATATTTTATATATGCCTTTTAGTTCCGCATCAATTTACGCTTTATTTCATATGGTCCTTATCCCTTCGTTTGTGGTTTCTGACCTTCGGTGTCATAAGATTCATCCCTCAGCTCGCAGAGCAATTTGGGGGCACTATTTATAAGAATACTGTTGGACTCCAGATTGCGCAATAGCGGATCATGTTCTCCTAACTATTTAGATTTAATTGAAATTAGAGTCGACTATAATGTTTTCGATGGAGCTTTATATGAAAGTTCTGCTGGAATTCAGATTGTGAAATTGTGATCTGAGATTTTCCATAAAGATAATGAAGACTACTTCATCATTGATAAAAATTACGCATAACATTAGATAGGGTGAAAAAGATTTATCTGAAGCATTTAAAATAAATATAACAGAGTGGATTTCTTTATTTAAAGCGCTTCAGATAACATAATAAAGGACCCTTATTACGATCAAATCCAAAAAGTTACAAAAAGGTGATATCTATTAAAGTAAAAAAATTAGAAAAATCGACATTATATTCATTAAAAAAGTGGTCCGAACAACATTATAATCGACGGCAAATGAATGAAATCGGAAAAGTTACAAAAATATGGTAGGCAATTGGGCAATCTGAAATCCGACATTATTTTCATATACAAACACATCCAATTCAGTCCAAAGTCCTTCGAACAATAGTCGATGCTCCTTTCTATGTAACCTTAACATTCCATTCATCCTAGACCTTCACCAGAAACTTATGAATTTCTATCAAGCACTATCCACCCCTATAATCCTCCAAGAAGGGTAAAACTGCTGTGGACCCGCGACCTTTTGTAGTCTGGATAAATTGGAGTTCCGACAATGGTCAGATTCTCCACTCAAGACAAGACTGTATGTGGGAAAGCTGCTCTCGATCATTCTCCACTGGCTTTAGCACCAGTGACTTGATTGAGAGAGTAGTGCAGGGATCTCCTGGAGTCCTGCTTTTCCCTTCATAGTTGTAGGGACAAGCCTGTCTTAGAGTTTCCTCACCTGATTATAAGTAGTGTATATCGGTGTGTATGTGTTTTTCTAAAAATAAATTATTTAAATTTGTCATTTTATTTTATTTATTTTATATACAGTTTGATTATTATTTGGTTATTTTCTTTCTGTTTATTTTATATTTTTTTGTACACGTTGTGAATGTTATCTTATTCAATAAATAAATAAATTTTAAAAAAACTCATATAAAGCGCCCTCATCAAAATTATAGCCGATCCTTAATTGATGGTCGACATCAATTAAATCTAAAAGTTAGGAAAATTTGATACGCAATCTGAAATCTGTCAGTATTTTCATAATTAGCGCCCCCGACAACATTATATTCGACCCTAATATTAATTAAATCCGAAAGTTTAGCAAAACGTGATGCGCAATTGCGCAATCTGAAATTCTACGTAATTTCTACATAAAGCTGTATGGTACGACAACATTATCATATAAACTTATTTCGATTAAATAAAGTAATCAAGTTACAAAAACATGAATAGCGCAATGGCGCAATTCTAAATCCGACATTATATGAAAACATTTTTTTATTTATTAGTTTTTAGTTGTAGCTGTAGATTTTTTAAAAATTTATTTATATAGTAATGTTATAATCTGTCATTTGATCAATAATTATAGTGAAATATGAACACCTTCAAACCATATATACAGAAAACATAAAATTAACAGAATTAAAATAATAACTAAATAAGAATAAAAAACTATCTACAATAAAAAACGAAATAACCTAATGATAAGTAAATTAAAAACACAGTCATACCTATATACAATATATACAATCAGGCCAGGGAACCCGAAGCCAACCTTGTTCTTCCAACAATAGAAGGAAAAGCAGGATTCCATGAGATCCCTGAGCTACTCTCTCAACAGCGTCACTGATGCAAAAGCCAGTGGAGTTTATAGCTATATATGAAGCTAATTAGCTGTTAGCTATAGCCATTGCAAATATAGCTATTTTCCTCTTAATTTTAATTTTAAAAAAGATAAAAATGGATTAAATTGTTTTATAGGTTTTAAATAGAAAAATAAAATTTTAATAACTTCATACCACGAAATATTAATTGACCAGTTTCTTTAAACCGGTATTTTTATTTAGTATATTTCCGGTATATTTTATTTAGTATATTTTATTAGTATTAATTTAGTATATTTTCCTAACAATGATCTCTCCGATTTAGTATGATATTGGTCGTGATCATTATTCTAAACAGACGGAAGGATTGCCGGATAGCCTTTTTTAATAATAAGGTATATTAGTGTGGTAGTCCAAGGCTCTGATATATAGTCCCTGGTACAGACCTATATTTATCAAATTGTTAACATCCGCCTGAAACTTCGTAAATAGATTCATCTCTTCGTAACCTACAAATATTTTATTTACGAAAATCCTCAGAATTGGGACGCTTTCAATCTGGAGATCGGCAAACATTGTCTATTTATTATTTTCAAAAACATATATTTTACTGAGTATTAATACAGTTTGCCACACTGAAGGGCATTGGTACTAGGGATATGGTATTAATTCATTCAATATGTACAGAAGAAAGGAAAATAAATAAAAATAACCAAGTAAGAGAAAAAAAAATTACATAAATATAAATAAAAAGATAAAGTAATATACAAGATAAGTACAATAACAGATTGAAGTGTCTATTTAATTAGATATAGAAAACTGATGAATACTCATTTGCTATCCACTTCAATCGTAAGATAATATGATCTCAAAATCGAAAAAAAATATTGGGGCGTCTGGCCTATATAACCTTATGTTAACTTTTTCGGGGGTAGAGGTCACGCCAAACGGTCCAATACTTTTGTAGGTCACTTTTTTTTTCAACTTTGTGACCATTTTATCTCACTATTCAAGTTGAAAGCAAGCGGATATTCTTGCGTTTACAGTACCTAATTAAACAAACAATGTTAGCCGATCTCTAGATTGAAATTCCGTATGTCTTCGTAAATAAATCATTTGTAGATTATGATCTGAAAAGGCTATTTACGAAGTTTCAGGCGGATGTTAATAATTTGGTAAAAATAGGACTATAACACGATCTAAAACAATAATATTAAAAAAAATATACATATATATATTTTTTTTTCTCTCTGCTGTAGTAACCCTACAGAAGAGGCGTATATTTTTTAGAAGTGTGCATACACCATGCAAAAGCATATTATATGCATTACATTGTTATTTAGTATATAACTATAAATATAACTTATTACAATATGTGTTGGCTAAAGATATTTAAAAAGAATGTTACTTAATATGTATTACAAGGAGAATATTATAGATGTTTAAATAAAATAAATAACAATAAACGATTAAATAAGTAAATAACAGTATCAGATGAATCAACAGTACCAAAATATACTAAAACAAAATACTCTAAAACGGAGGCAGAATCAAATACAAAAATTATGCGGAGAATAAACAAATGTTACAAATTTACAATTGAGTATCAACAAAATGAAGAAAAACAACAACATAAGTCTAACTTTAAAAGTATATTAAATAAAAGAGCTATGCTGTAATGTCTTATAATTTTATGCTATTAATGAATTCCTTCAACTCCTTCTTGTATTTTTTGTATAGTATGGGTTCGGGAAGAGGCCATGTGTCTTCTTGCGTCAAATAGGATTTCAGGAAGGTGGATTCTCTTTTGTGTTCGTATAAGATTGATTTATATATATAAATAAATAAAGTTGAATCAATCAAAATAACATAAAAATATAAATTTAAAAACATCCATTCTCGAGAACTCCGAAAGAAGTCATATTATTGACTCTCCCTCCATCCCCCCACCACCACTTATTTCTATTGTACCACTAGCAATGAAAGACACATTAGCGATAAACTAACCAACTTAATCTTATCGAAAGCATTTTATTTTCTGTGAAAACATATCCTGAATCGATAGTAACCTTCTGACAATGTTCTCCATTCGATCATTACAGCCGAAGGAAAGGGTTCTAAAGGATATCGCAACGGATATGGTCAAAATGAATCCCTGCCATCCAACAATCGGAAAGATAGAACTGGTTTTCAATGATATATTCAAATTCTATAGAATGACCGGTTCGTTCCCGATCGACTCGGAATATTCAGGTATCTCCAAATCGAACCTTGTAAAAGTCGCTATCCTGTATCTCGCCATTACTCTCATTGTACTGAAGAAAATTTGTAAAATGATATTGAGTTCTGAATCAATGCCGGCGACGTTGGCGTACATGTTTCAACATATACCGACTACGATTTTTTTTTGGGTCCATTTGACGCACCTGATACGGAACAGAAAGTTCTTGACGGAACTCTACGAAGAACTGATGGATATCGAATACCAGATGTGGAAGAGCGATGTCTGCTGGTCTTACAAGCCTGATTGGTTTGCCAAATATCTCGGTGTTAGCGCTTTGACTATATCTGATGTTTTGTGGGAGATATTTTACAACGAATTTCTAGACTTAGGAGGGAACATGATAGACCTCATAATATTTTTCATCTTCTTGAATGTGATCGGCCAGTACGTTCAATTATTGGAGCTATTGCTATCCGTCCTAAAAAAAATAAGATCGATCGAACGAAATGAAACCGTCATAAAGTTGACAGATAAATTATTATCTCTTTGTGAAAATGTTAACATGCTATATGGAGCACAGCTGTTTTTGTACATCGTTACAACATTTTTCCTTTTTCTCTTTACAGTATACTACATGATCGTGTCAAATACTCTAATAACAGCATTAACAGCGATTTGGATGATGTCTTTGCTACTTCCTCTCGTTCTGGTATTGATGAATGTAGGAAATTTTTCTCATGAGGTAATAAAGTAAAACATTAATTCACCTAAATAAATATAATCCACGCTATATTTACCTTTTTATTAAATTATTAAGTTTCTAACAAAAACTTACATAACATCCAAATCCACTTGCTCAATCCCTCTCTAGCTCTACACATCCTTACATCCTTACAATCTTCCTCGAAGGTTGAAGCCGCAGTGGCCCAGAGGCCTGTTTTAAGAATATATAGGAGTTCTGGCAATGGCCAGATTCTCCACTCAAGTCATGTCTGGTTATAGCGCCTCTGCTCGGCCTCCATTGAGTCTTACCTTTCCTTCCAAGAGTGGGGAAGTAAATCTTGCTCGGAGATCTTAAATAAATGAATTTGTAAATATTTTATAAAAGCATGTGTGTATTTAAGTAGTTATTTTGATTAGTTTAGTTTCTTTTAGTTTTCATAGCGGAATCTCTCTGATTATTCACGTGATACAGTTAAAGTGTATATCAGAGCAGTTGATATTTACTGTTGACATCTTTTTTTTTTGTTATTTTAAGGAAAAAAAAAAAAAATTTTTTTTTTTTTTTATTTATTTATTTATTTTTCTCTTATGATATGCGGTATGATCAGCAAGTGATGGCCAGTAAGGTGCCCAAGAGGTCTCGGTCAGACGGAGTTAGCTCACCAGCCAAACAAAGGACTCGTCGCTGCCTACGAGAAATACCTCCAGTGACCAAAATGAACACTTCAGAACCAGAACCTCAGCCCCAACCAGGTACGTCTGCACAAGAAACGATTGAAGAATCACCTTTCTTTACTCCAAACCCCTACCAAGTGCTTCAAAATGACAGAGAAGTAATGGAGTCTGCAGCAATACCCAGAGAACCAAAGCCTCCTCCGATATTTGTGAAAAATATAAAAAATTTCCAGATGTTCTGCACCCAACTAAATAAAATCTGCTCTGGCAGTTATTCATGCCTTAACAGGACCAATGACACCAAAATAACACCTGATTCTGCAGAAGCCTACCGAAAAATAGTGAAGTACTTATCAGAAACAAATGCGAATTTTCACACTTACCAGCTGAGGCAGGAAAGAGCTTTACGAGTAGTGATAAGAAATTTACATTCCTCAACCCCCACTGAAGTTATTAAAGAAGAACTAACGACGCTTGGTTTCAATGTACGCCAGGTAACAAACGTTTTGAAGGAGGACAGGGAGCAGCCAGGATTACGAAATAGGATCCCACTACCATTGTTTTTCGTGGACTTGGAGCCATCACCAGGTATCGAAAAAATATATGATATCACAAGAATATACTACACAATGGTGAAAGTTGAGAAGCCATATCCCAAGAGAGACATCGTGCAGTGCCATAATTGTCAGACCTATGGCCACACGAAGACATATTGCCACCATCTGCCGCGTTGCGTGAAGTGCGGTGAACAGCACAAATCTGTAGAGTGCACCAAACCTATACAAGATCCAGCAGTATGTGCCCTATGCTTGGAGGGACACCCGGCCAACTACAAAGGCTGCCAAATTTACAAGAATCTCAAAACCAGACACCAGAAAAACCGGATTCAAGATGAAGCACTAAGAACAAGAAGAGAGAGAGAGCCTTCCAGAATTGTAAACAATGATGTATCATTCTCCCAACTACTTAGAGGTAAGACTTTAACCGATAAATGTCAAGCCCTGCCACAACAACAACCTCAAACCCAACCTCAAAATCCTCTTCATCCTAATATACCTAACCACCAACAACAAATTCCTCATATTCCTCCTCCTTCAAATGCAACAGATCTCACAAGTTTGTTAGCATCTTTCCTCACCGATTTCAAATCCCTTGTTACTCCACTCATATCACTCCTCACGAATCTCGTATCTCACCTCATCCCTCCTTTGAAAAATCCTTAAATGACTCACATCCCTAAACCCATATCCATTCTCCTTTGGAATGCGAATGGTGTTAGAAATCATACAGACGAACTATCTACTTTACTACTTGACAAGGACATTGATGTGGCACTAATTACTGAAACTCGACTAACCACTAAACAGCACTTCAATATACCACAATACCTGACATATCGTACTGACCACCCTGACGGAAAAGCACATGCCGGTACTGCTGTAATTGTACACCAATCCCTCTCCCATCACGTACTCCCATTACCAATACATGATTTCCTACAGTCCACCGCTATCGTGATAAAAACCTTCTCCTTTCCGGTCACTCTTGCATCAGCATATTGCCCTCCTAACCGATCCATATCCAATGCCCAATTCAGTTCTCTCCTCGACTCCTTAGGACATCACTTCATCTTGGGTGCAGACCTAAATGCCAAGCACCAACAATGGGGTTCCAGAACCACGAATTCTCGTGGCCGAACCCTGCTGTCTGCACTCAATTCCCAACGTTTTCACCTCCTTTCCCCCAACTCTCCTACCTACTGGCCCACAGATCCCAACCGTAATCCTGATCTTCTTGATTTCTTTATCCACAGCGGCTTAAGTCCCCTCAATTGTTCCATTACACGTCTAAATGAACTTTCCTCTGACCATAGTCCTCTAATCCTTAATGTTTCACTTGAACCTGTTCCCAAACCTTCTCCACCGTCATTCGTTAGGGGCCCAGTAAACTGGGACCTTTTCCGCCAAATAATCTCCGATAATATTGATCTCAACATATCCCTCAAAACTCCCGATGACCTTGATAGTGCCGTAAATTCCTTTACTACCACAATCCAACAAGCCGCCTGGACTGCCTCCTTCCCAAAAGACTCCTCCAGAATTCCTATAAAGACCATTCTACCCCAACACATCCTTAACCTAATCCGCACCAAACGCCGTGCCAGATTATTATGGCAACGTACCCGACATCCTACCGACCGCTGCTCCTATAATTACTACTGCAAACAATTAAAACTGGAATTAGCCACCTTCAGATCACAATCCTTCAACTCCTACCTATCCTCCCTCTCTTCTCGCGACAATTCCCTTTGGAAAACCACAACAAAAATCCTAAATCCTCACCGCATTTCCCATCCTCTCCGACGAGGTGATGGCTCCTGGGCAGCATCTGACGAAGATAAAGCTGAGGAGTTCGCCATTCACCTATCCAATACATTTATTTCACATCCGGAATCCCATCCTGCCCACACCGTAACAGTAGAAGAACTCCTTACATCACCAATCCCACTTTCCTTGCCCCCAAAAGCTATTCATCCTTCCGAAGTAAAATTTCAATTAAAAAAACTAATCCTCCGTAAAGCTCCTGGACATGATCTCCTTACACCTCAAATCCTTCGACAACTTCCATCCAAAGCAGTCATATTCCTTACATATATCTACAATTGTATCCTACGCACCACCCACTTCCCTCTGTTATGGAAACACTCCACTATTATCCTTTTCCCAAAACCAGGAAAACCTCTCAATAGCTCAACATCCTATAGACCAATCAGCCTACTCCCAATCCTTTCAAAAATTTTTGAAAAGATCCTTTTGAAACGAATCCTACCCATTATAGAATCCCAAAATATCCCTTCCCATCAGTTTGGTTTTCGCTCTCAACATTCTACTGTTCAACAAGGACTCCGAGTTGTTGATCATATTTCCTCAGCCCTAGAAAACAAGGAATACTGTTCGGGTGCCTTTCTGGACATTGCACAGGCATTTGACCTGGTATGGCACTCCGGACTGCTCTCCAAGCTTAAAATCCATTTACCTCAGTCCTTGTACCTAGTCCTCCGATCCTACCTCTCTGACCGCTCCTTTCGAGTTCGCTGTGGAACAGAATTTTCCAATATCTACTCCGTTAAAGCCGGTGTTCCCCAAGGCAGCGTCTTGGGTCCCGTGCTTTACATCCTCTTTACTGCTGACATCCCTGTTCATCCCGATACTTTTCTTGCAACATTCGCTGACGACACCGCAATCTTATCATCCAACTCTGATCCCGAAATAGCATCCTTAAATCTCCAAAGTCACCTCACCTTGATTGAGCACTGGTGTAATAACTGGCGCATTAAAGTTAATGAATCTAAATGCCAACATATTACCTTTACACTCCGACGCAATTCCTGTCCACCAGTACTCTTTAATTCCATCCAGCTTCCTTATTCAACACAGTCCGGTATCTTGGCTTTCATTTAGACCGAAGACTAACTTGGAACCCGCATACTAGACTCAAAAGACAAGAACTCAACCGACGATACGGCCAACTATACCGACTACTAAGCAGAAAATCTAAACTTTCCATTGAAAACAAGCTACTGATCTACAAGACAATACTGAAACCTATTTGGACTTACGGACTAGAACTGTGGGGATCAGCAAAATTTTCTAACATCAAGCGCATCCAATCCTTCCAGTCTAAAGTCCTTCGAACAATAGTCGATGCTCCTTTCTATGTATCCAACAAAACCCTACATCATGACCTTAACATCCCATTTGTCCTAGACCTTATCCCAGAAAAATTCTCCAAATTTCACCAGAACCTTACTTACCACCCAAATCCTCTTGCACAATCCCTATCAAGCATCTCCCATCCCTATAATCCTCCAAGAAGGTTGAAACGGCAGTGGCCTCGCGACCTTTTGTAGATTATATAAATTGGAGTTCTGGCAATGGCCTGATTCTTCACTCAAGACATGTGTGTATGTGGCTAAAGTGCTCTCGACCAATCTCCGCTGGCTTTAGTACCAGTGACGCGGTTGGGAGAGTAGCGCAGGGTTCTCCTGGAGTTCCCTCGCCTGATTGTATATAGGTATGCATGTGTTTTTTTTTTTTTTTTTTTCCTTATTTTTAATTTTCTTATTTTTTAGGTTATTTTATTTTATTGTCTATTGTATATACTTTTGATTATTATTTTGTTCTATTTATTTTATTTTTTTGTACATATGGTGTGAATGTCATCCTACCTCACTATAACCAATGTCCAACAGACAAATTGTTATAATACTCCATAAAGAAATTAAAAAAAAAAAAAGTTTATATATTTAGACGAATAAGTTCTTTCGGTTTTTCTGTTTATTT